TTGTAGAATACGAGAGAATGAGCGCGAACGAAACGAACGAATGGAAAAGAAATCACCGCAAAACGTAGTAATAAGGCGTGCTCCGGATCCGTTATCAGCGGCGAAGGCAGACAGAATTTACGACGGAGTCGCGAAGTGCGGGCTGAGTCTGTTTGCACGTCGTTTTCATCCTATCTAGTTACTCCTGATTTTCCACGTATAGGTGTACCCGTGTGCGTTTTTACGATAACGACTTGTTTCTGTCTGACCTCCTGGGCCAGCCGTCTCGCGACTGTATTTTTGGGCACGGCTCGCTTTTCACGGGCAGCTGGACCACGCGACGCGAGGAGCGTCGAAGGAAAGTATCGAAAATGAACGTATTCTACGAAAACGTTTCGATTCTTTTTTTCTTCTACAATTTCTACAATTATCGGTCTTAATAGCTAGATACGAAAGATGATACAACGTCGGGTACACGGGAATATATCGGGCGCTTAATGAAAATTTGAAGAAGATGCTGGAATCACGTGTTGATATTACGTATGGATCGAAATTTGCTACAGGCTGAATCATTCGCGATATTGTGTAATTACACGGAGAAGACGAAACCGAAAGGTGTTATACGTGTCACGTGTAATAATATATCGAAGTAAGAAAAGGTTAGGCAACGAAACTTACGCTTCGCTGAAACCATTCACGTGCAATATCCTCATCTGTTTGACGATGGTGCTCTTCCCGGATTCTCCCGCTCCTGAAACATGAGGAAAACCAAACGATTCTTCTTTTTATACCTTGCGTTAAACGAAAAAGGGGGAAAAATTAGACTCCGCCAATTTCGTTTTTTCCGCATCGATTAGAAAAAACAAAACAGACGATAATAGAGTAGAAAAAAAAACAATTGTTGAAAGATCGATACCGATTTCACAATGCCGTCATTCTTCGTGGAACGTGCAAAAAGCAGCGTATTATCGTGTTTTCTTTTTCAGGAAAAACAGGAGCAGGATGGTAATTGCAGGTGACAGGGAAAACAATACAGTAACAGCTGTTGCTTCGTAGCCTACAGCTACGAGTTGGCTATACGTAACGCGCGCAACACACATCCAACCGGGTCGAATTAGAACGACGACCTACATAAACGAAGAATAGGAAGGTAATGGTTAGGTGTTGGGTTAAGTATCGCAATAAGTAGATGGTGTGTGCGTGCATGTGTAACGGGGCGCACGCGCGCACCCACGTTGGCCGCTATGTTGGAGAAGACTGGTCGTCAGGAGAAGGAGAAGAAGGAGACGAGGATAGAGAGCGCACGAAAAGGGTACAACATGAGCCAGCCAGCCAGCCAGCCTGCCAGCCAGCCAGCCCGCTGGATATTCGTGGGTGCCGGCTCATACGATAATCGATAAAATTGAATTACGCGCTGCTGAGCATCGCGATAATGTTCGGCCTATCCTCTGACCGGACGCTTTTTCTCCAAAATTCGTGATCCACGCCGATTCAACTGGTATTCTAGCGGAATTTTCTTCTATTTCTGCGACACGTGTGCACTTATATGTACAGGGTGATTTTTCTTTTTAAAGGTTCTTAGTGTTGATAACGAAGGTAACGGTAGGTAAGTTGTACAGTGATTCTAGTTTTACTTCGAAAAGAAAGGATTGTACGTTGACGTAGAATGGTTTTGGTTTGATGACTCTATGTGTCCTTCTTTAGTTTTCACACAAGTTTCGTAAGAGGGAATTGTCTCTTATGAAAGTGTCGAGTGAAATCTAGGATTTTTGATTAGGAAGGTGTGAACGGTGTGAGTGGTCGCACGAGAGTGGTTTGTAAACATTAGAGTATAAAAATGTAGTGGGATAATTCAGTTCTAGCGAGATAAATAGAAACTAGTAAATCATTCAATAATTGATCTTTCGACCCATTCAACTTTATTTACGACTACTATTTACTCGTATAAATTCTGTACGGTTTTTTGAAGAGGTAAAGAAAGGGAAAGCTAGATAAGAAAGGAAAAATCTTGAACATCGTCGAGTTAGTGATATAAAGAGATCAATGGAAAACGGTGGAGGTTAGAAAGAGAAAGAAAAAGTTTCGGGATCGCTTACCAAGCAAAAGGAGCCTGTGGGTAGCCCGGTAAACTTGCTTATCCTTTTGCAGTTGCCTAGTGATGGCATCTGAACGCCTCTTCTGGTTCTTACTATCATCCTGGCTGGCCTTACTGCTCTGGCTGCCGAAACACCCCATGACACACCACGAGAGAGACACGCGCGGCTCACCCTCTTCACTCTTCCCTTCCACTTCTGTTGTTTCTCTGTTGTTATCAGTTCAGAGAAAGAGACGATCTCTCACCACTATAACCCACTCCCTCTCCCTCTCTGAGGAGCGAGAGAAAACAGCTCGCGCCCGCGACGAGCCACTACCGGCAGCGCGTGTTGTTTATCTCGCGTGTAAATGTGACGTTCGATTGGTACACCCTCTGCCGCGGTTCGCGGAGAGATTCACTCCGTTTCCACGACTACCTACTACGAGTTCGTTCCTTCGTTCCGGCTGTGTGTCTGTCACTCGATACTTATCTATCACCGTGTCGCGCTTCTCCACACTCGAGCCTCGTCCTTCTATCGAACTCTCTCTCTCTCTCTTTCTCTATCTCTGCCTCTCTCGCTTACTCTCTCTTTTCCACCCGCTATATCGTTACGGCGATCGGTCGCGACCTTCTCTCTTTATCTTTCTCACTTGCTCTTCCTCTGTCACTGCTGGTGGTCTTTTTCCTTTTCTGCCCGTGTCGCGCGCGTTTACTATCTCCGTTTCGTACACTATTACGTGTATACGCGGTACGTGTGTGTATATATATGAAATATAATGAAGTTCTGTTGGTTGCACTCACACACGGTTCACTTCACGGCTTCTCTTTCACCATATCTCGCACTGCCCGCGAAACCATAGCTACACACGATGATCGACGGTGCTGCTGGTCCAACACACGCTGACTCGTGAACGGCGTTTTGTACGTGTTCAAAGTGTCTTCGAAATGAACGTGTACAGAAGAGATAGGATTATTCGAATGTCGACACTGTTTCTAGGAGGGCAATCCGTCGGTTCTACCGAAGGCGACACACGTTTCGCGGATCGAACCACTTCCGAATCTTCCGTTTAACACTGGCGAAAACCGGCCGCGAGACACTCGCGGCAGGTTGCGATAGAGGGAGGTACGCACGAGGCACGACCAGCACTCTCGAGAGAAAGAGTGGGAGCAACACCGGGACTGGGATAATAGGTTGACGTGCACTGTCCGATGCGCCTCCTGTGATGGCCCGCGAACACGAGACACACGCGAAATCGTTTCAGGAGGAAGGGACTCGACGCGTGTATACGACAGCTCCGACCTCGCCTCGCCTCACCTCGCCTCACCTCGCAGCCCCTACCCTTCAGACAGAACAACGAGAAGTTAAAATAGATCGGTGGCTACGGTGCGCTGTGCTAGCTCGTTACTCGAGCAAATCGAAGAAAGTCGCGGAATCGACAGCACCCCCGTAGATAAGGAAGATGATGTACGCCGACCGAGCAGTTTCCTCGCTCTTTTCTTTATGCTCTTACGATTTTTTTTTTCCTATGCCTGTTCCCTCGTTGATCTTCTCAGTCACCAAGGGAACCCCTTACGAAGCAAGGATAGCCGATGGACTTTTTCTTCTTTCTCCGATTTTCGTTCCTTGACTCCTCAATTTTTCGAGGGCTCGTCCGGGTTCCCCCTCCCCGCCGCTCGCTAGTCTTTACCCCTCTCCACGAACTTCTCGTCGACGACCGCGGCACAACCACCACTCGGGGAACCCAACCGTGTGCCCTCTCTCGCACACACCCTCGAATGGTTTTACTCTCTCTCCACCTCGCTTTCACCGCGTTCGCTCACTCTCCTCACTCAACAATCTCCGAAGAAATTCGTGGCCAAAACATCCGAGACGAGATACTCCCTGCAGCAAACATGTCGTCTGCTAGGCCCACCAGCACGGCGGCCCACCGCGCTTAAGATGGATCAGGTTCGTATCTTGAGTTTCAGGTGCCCTAGCCACGGCTTCACGCTCTTGTCACTCTCTCGTCACAAAAAACCCACTCGTGTGCACGACAACCGTTTCGCGTTCGATCTCTCGTCCAGAATTTTTCGACAGATTCGTTCCGGGGCCAACAATCTATCGTATGAGGTATTAATGCACTGACTGTAGCGCTATCTACGACATCTGTTCGAACTAAACCGTTGTGTATGCGTTGTGTTCATACGTCATACACGTACACGTACGATTTGACACACACTGTCACTTATACACACTTGTTTAGTTCCGTAGATATGATAGGTTGCGCTATAATCAATCCATATATATGTATAAATATTCACACCAGGTAGATATAATGATGTGTTAGGTTTCGCAGACTATTAAAATCTTATGGTTTTTTCATTGATTTTATACGAGAACTGAAATATTCCTTATTGTGAAAATAATTCCAAGAAATAGTTCTTTTTTTCCTACCAGTATTTAATTATTATTAGTTTTTCTTTCACACCGGTATTTAAAACGTTGCCAACATGAATGAAGTTAGTCACTAACCAAAGATAATCTTGTAACATTTAAAAACTACAATACAAACATACGGTATATAGTTCGTATTGTTAATTTTTAAATGCATAAACTATAAATATTTCTTTATTAAATCGTAGTAATCTTTGTACGAATGTAATCTTTCACTGAATTATAAACACGTCAGCCCTCGTGTATTTTTATACGAAATTGCAATAAAAGGATTCCACTATGCAGTTTATTTTTATATTGAATTGAATTGAATTTTAAATAAATCATACAAGTGTTATAATTATGTCGTGATTATCGCTATTGGTATCCTTCGTTGTTGCAGTATCACGTTAATCGCTTGGAAATGTTCGTCGAGAAAAATCGGAATCAAGTATTATCTTAATATTTTCGTATAATCTAAACCATCTAACGATTATGACATACTATTGCATATTGGATATTGACGATAAGGTTCTACAATTGAAATTTATTTTATACAAAAATGGTTTGAACTGGAGGGCCACTGTATCCACACAACAGTTTTATGTACTATAAAATTTATACTTCAAATAACTCTTCAAAACACAAATATACAAGAAATATATCAAACAACCTGTTCAACTAAATGGCATATTTTTAGTAGATAAAAATAAAACAAACATCATTGTTTCGAAATGTTGTACACAGAACTATACATAAATACAGATATATTTATTATCAATGGGTAGCTACAAAATCTGCTTCCAAGAGTTGTTGCAACTTCACTCCCTTATTCCTTAAATTGCTGCAAACTGAAAAAGTTTTATGTTTAGTACAGAATTCTAACTTTATTTTAATACAATAAATCTAATACATTATATACACTTGCTTTTGTAAAACTGTAATATACTTCAAACTTCTCAGTCTATCGTTACTTTCTATCTTATTTCCTCAGGATTTAAGCTAAGAAATACAGCACATGATCAGTATTGTTGTAACGTCTTGCTGTACGAAGGATCTGGTCCTAATACTTCAGAATAAACATTGAGTGCTTCTCCATGTTGTTACATTTCTTGTAATATCCTTCCTTTCCTTGCCCTAACTCCAACAAACTCTGGATCAAATGCTAGCTTGGCATAACGAACAATTCTGTGCTGTAATTATTCTTTTGCTTTTACTCTTGCACTCTTTAACCTCAATAATTTTATTTATATTTTCAATAATAATCATATCTTCTTGTGTTCTATGTACTTTCCTTGTTTCCAGTTTTTCATACATCTATTCTGAAGAATGTTTTAGCTGTTAACTTGAAGTATCTTCCCTTTTCTTTTCTAACCTTAATGGCTCCTTCACATATAGTAATACACTTATCGTATTTTCTTGGTCGATGGTATACTGTTGCACCATTTAATAAGTAATTAATTTCTGTGGGAACACTTCTTCAAATTTTTGATGTCTATAAACAATAAAACCTAATTGTATCCTATATTGTGGCTGCCTTTGAATTTCTTGTTAGAATGTAAATGCACACACTTTAGCCGGCGTAGAAATGGACAAGTAGCGCCTCTTCTTGCTTATCATGGAACTATATAGTAATACGTAATATGTTCCCGCGATTATGTTTCACAAATTTCTATTACCTTCGCAAGCTTATTCTATTCTCTTTTTTACATATGTATGCAAGATTCTGAATGCAAGCTTAGCCTCAGGGTTAATCAAAGCGATACTATTTTGATTTATAAAATACTTCGTTTCGTAATGTGCATTGTACTCGTTAATATTTTGTCAATTTGTTGGTATACATTGTATTTTGTAATTATAGCCTACGTACTGCGATTGCTTTTATATAATTTATATTTTATTTCCTTTTATACATTTTCATACTTTATTCTCATTTCTCATATATCCTTGTTACGACTAAAATTTCATCCTTAACCTTTCAAACCAAGTAAAAAAAATATACATAAAACGTAAACAAACTTAATTACAACTAAATCTCTATACCGAACTAATATTTAAATTCTAATTAAAAAAATTTCGTTTCCTAGTTAACACGTTGTGCAATCTATTATTAAAATTTTGACGTAAGAAGCTCAAATGCGAACATCGTGCTCGCTTAATCAACAAGCGTTTCACGAATACATTTCAATCGAAGACATTTCCGAGATTAACGACTAAAAATATAAATGTTGATAAATCGCAAAAACCAAATGTAAATGAGTATTACTCGAGAAAAGAATGAAACAAAATAAATAATGATTCACGAACGTAGGCGAATATCGCGTATGAATGATTTTGAATGCTAAAATGTTCGGTGTCCAAGGTTTCTCTTGTCTGGCAGCACTTTCGTTACCACAGAACCTGGTATTTCCATCAGCAAACTGGAGTAACTGGGGAATCCCAGCTATTCGTCGTATTGCATACTTTTTTTCGCCCGTGAACACAGTTCGATAACCGCTACATTACCTTTAAAATCGCTTTTTCTTCTCTGTATATTTCCCAATGAAAATATCTCGCGATATAATTAAATTTCCTGCGTTGATTTATGGAAGCTATTAAACCGTCGTGCATAAGGAACTTTTATAAAATGTGAACAATGGAAATTACCGTATCTTTAGCGTTTAAATAAATTCGCTACATACATATAAACAAACTACTTACGCGGGAGAAAGACTATTAGACGATTAGTAAGATCCCCTCTTTCCAAGGTCCAAATATATCCCGGAACCTGTGCGCTTCGCAGACCAAACTCCCCCAAAAAGGAATAAGTCTGCAGGCTTCTTGGAATGCCTAGACCATTACACGTTACGAACTGGAAATAACCAACAGCCGGTCCTTGCTCCACATTTTTATGCCGGCTCTTGCAAAATTAGCCACAACCTTTACGGTTCCCCTGAATTTCGTTGTGCACTTGTCGTTCGACAATAGTCACCGAATCGCAAATATTTCTCAACGGCTTGTTCCGTTTCAACGATCAGGAAGAACGTTAAAAAATCATCGCGACACGTATACGTAAGAGAGATTCTAGAATTTTATGGTAAATTTTCTAAGGCTTTGTTTATTACTAAAAAAATAATTATAGACGTTATGTAACAACATTAATGTTATCGTTCTATTATTTTTCATGCCGTAAAAACGACACGCTTAAGATACTAACAAAACATGACTATGTACAATAAGGGGAGAGGGGTACGAGGAAATTTATAAACGTTCACGATAAAATACCGTAGCGTACTTATTACGTCGTAGTAATACCCGAGTGAATTATCTTTCTACGTTCCTCGATAAATAATTCTATTTCGAAGAGTGTTATTTCGGTCTCTTAATTCAACTAATATAAATATATATGTATGTACACCTTAAGCGAACAATGAAATTACGAATGTTTCGTTTACATACTAACGTTTTTTTTTCCTTCCATTTTCGTTATACTTTAATCGTCATTTCAATGCGTCTTCTCTCGTTTTAGGACGCTTCGAAGCGTACGAGTGCCACTACTACATTCTCACACAATTCTAACACAAAAGAAAAAAAAAATGTTTTCATAACTTTCGCCTATATTTACAAGAAACGAGATCCTGCGGTCACCCTAAGCGTAAAAATTGTGAATTCATTTCGCAGTCGACGTACGCTCGGACAATCGTACTCGTTATCGAAGTATACAATAACAGCAGTAGTAGCCGGTAGTAATATTTGCTCCTCATAGAGGCACGGTTTTCAGATTATTCCCATCACTCTTCTATCCTGTCTCGTTCTAACACGTCTCCCTGCTCGTCTTTCGTATTTCTTTCGTTTCGTTATACATTCACATTGTTGCATCGCGTAATTAGTTCCAACAGAATAATAACATGTTCGATGTGATACAATTAATACTTGTACTCGACGGAGTTTCGAATCATTTCCTCGCTTGGCGTCAACATAGCCGTCGTAATTCGCGATCCGTAATAATAACCTACACATTATCGCGAAATTTTTTCAAAAAATACCCTCCTCTAATTGTCGAACGATATATCCATAACTTACACGTTCCATATCTATAATACGTATAAATATCTCGTTCGTTGCGGGTATTTTTCCGGTAATATCCAATCGGTTATATAATGCTAAGCATCGATCGACCAAAAAAAAAAAAAAAAGAAAAAGAGAGAGATAGAAAAAATAGAGGACCGATCGGCGACTTTTTACACTTTAACTCCAACTACATTTTGCCTAATTCTCGCGATCGCGGGTAAATAATTGTTCGCAGGGCTTTCATCCTCGTCGCTGCTGTCGGAGTCTGATTCCGGAAGAGGTTTCGGCGTCGCGCCCAGTCTTACTAATTCCCTAGCCAGTTGACTGTCGAAGCACAGGGCTATCTGATAAGCGGTGATACCGGCGTATGTCTGCGTGTCCAAACACGGCCTACACTCTTGCAGTAGAAACGCGACCACTGACCGACACCCACGTTCCACAGCGAGGTGAAGGGCCGTTTTTCCCGCCAATGCCTCCCTCGCCTCCAGATCTGCACCGAGGCGCAAAAGAAGCCGCACCAGCTCTACTTGGCCAGACGCGGCTGCTATGTGCAGGCACATCTCTCCTGAAATATCAAATATAGCAATAATTAATATATCGTTCTCGTTTACCACATCAAATATTCGTTCGTTATTGACAGAAGGTGCTGGGATATAGGAAGGAGTTTATAGAGTGTTGCAATCTCGGACATCTCAACACCTGTTCATTTTCATTATCACGTGAAATCAGCTAAGCGTGGACGAAACATTTTCACAATCTATACAAACGGGCGTTTCGTTAAACGTATATACACACATCCATAACCGATTGTATACGAGTTTAGTTGAATGTATACGTATGCGCATCCATACCATTGAAAAGGTTAATTGAACAATTCTAACGAGGATGGAAACGCATACTTCATAACGATGCGACCGAGTCACATGCTTCTAGAAGATATAGATAGAACGAGGAAGACGCGGTGAATCATTGTCGTCGGAGGTTTGGCTGGCGTCCCGCGGTCCAAACTAGGTTCGTACCGATCAAAGTAACTGCTAAAATTAACCCTCCCTTGTTACCACCGGCAGCATGTACATTGGCGGAATTTAATTACTAATTTCGTTGTAGCTGTAGACCGTTTTTCCCGTCCAGCAACGCTCACACCCAACTCAAAACCACACACACACACACACACAGATCTCCAGAGGGCAAATATTTATACTTCTATTCTTATCGAGAGCAAGACACACACACACACACACAACGCAAGATATACACACAGGGTGTACGAAACGAGATGGCACAAGGAAAAATCAATTATTCATGTATCTGGGAATTTCCCACGATAGCGTATCGGTAATTTGTAATTATAGTGAGCCCACCTTGATCAGGTTGAACGACTTCGTCAATGTCATTCTCGTTTCCAAACGAGAACGACGAGGAGAATTTTTCCTTTTTTTATTTTCCCCTGACGACGTGTCGCACCCTCGCAAGAGAAGTGTAAAAAAAAAAGTTTATTTCATTGCTTGTAATATTTTCTAATTCGTAGATGTATCAGAAGCTCAACTGCAAACACTTCCAAGTGACAGTACAATTTTTCATTTGGCTCTGGTGAAAAATTTCGCGTGTCCAACTTGCGTCAAGTTTGCCCGCGGGGGTGTAACGTACGTTTCAAGGGTGAAAGCTAACCGGGTCCACCGATTTCCACGCCGTTGTGGGGTTTCCCAAGTCGAATCGAGTCGAAGCGAGGCGATGCGAGAATATCACGACACGCAAATAGTCGCGCAGGTATTTTTAAATATCAAAAACATCTGCTTCTCTGTCTCATCGCGCGCCGCTGCGTGATGTAACGCGCGTGCACGCACGCACAGTAGTAGACGCGGCAAAATTCCGTCGTGTGTATTCCGAGCACCCGTGCACACACTCTTTGCTCCTTAAACTTTCTTCTTCTCCCTCCCCACTCTGCCGGGCTAAACTCGCTTTTCCCTTCTGAAATTCTCTAGCGCCGTCTCATCGACCGAATCACCAGAGTACGATACACTTGAACCCCCCCTGACATTACTCTCTCTCTATTTGCTCCACTATCGAGTCATCCGTATCGCGAAAAATCGTGCTAGGCCACACTCCTCTCCGACCACCACCTTTCTAATTTAAGCTCACTCTGACCTATTCGTCGGTTCGCTACGATATAATTATACACACGAATGTTTACATTTCTATCTACCTGATCGATAAAACACAGCGCTAAAGCACGTTTGTACGTCATGGGTATGTACGTACTACGCCACTCATGCGGAGTAAGATAAGCGTAATATAACAAGGGTGACACGCGAGCTTGCGATTATTACGGTCGAAAGTCGTATGTATGCGAAGGTATGAAAAAGCGTAGCTTTATTTGTTCCGTCATGGTCCAAAATCAGCCGTTACGCCAGCAGCCTGGCCTCCTCCATGCAACCCATCAAGTCGTAAGCCAAGAATGGTGTGTAAGGATGACGTTATGTGGGAATTCCGGTACTCTGAAAGAGAGTCAATGTTCACCATTCGAATATTCTTTTTTCTCTTCTTCTTCTTCTTCTTCATTTTCCCACTCGACATCGAGAGATTAGTCGAAGCGCAGAGGTACACGTATTTGTTGTATCGAATAATAAGAAGAAGCGTGACAAAGAGGAATCCGTAGTAAGATTATTGTAAGTTGTGTAACTACGAGAATCAAGACACACGTGGAACGAGAGAAGGACAATGGGAAAGTCTTCTGACTAAACTTTTCCAAGAAGCATCCGTCGCGTTTTTCGAAAGATCTCGAATTTCCGTTCACACGGTTAGCAACAAAACGGAAACCACTTTCGATATCGATGAAGAACAACAGGAAACCGCGGTGTTTTCTAGAAAGACCTTGTACTCTATCGCGATTCGAAAGCTATGCGCGGTTTAGATAGACAGAGAGGACATTTTCTCGAGAGTACAATGAATTGCGAATAAAACACGACTGCGCTTTAGAACGATGGAATTTCCGAATGAAACGATGCGGGATAACGGATCGTTCTCGATCCTCGATGAAATCATGGGAAACCCGTGAATAATTGTGGTTGCAGGATTGTTCTCTCTCTGTCTGTGTGTGGGTGTGTGTGTGTGGCGCGCACGATGCCAATGACTGTTTGTTTCATGCGGTAAAAGTTGTCAGGATTTTCCGAGGTGTTCTTCTCTGTACGGACCGCGTTAATAAAAACGCGTCACGCGTGCTTCCTTTCTTCTCTTTAGAAATCATCCTTTATCTCTGTCATTCTTCTAATTGTCCCTTAATAAAGACACGCATTGTTCTGCGTATTTGCTTTTGTGTCACGCTCAAGGATGCTCTCTCTCTCTCTCTCTCTCTCTCTCTCTCTCTCTCTCTCTAATATTGTTTTACTAATTGTAGACGTGTTGAAAATTAGCACAAATACCGGTAGGATGTTATAAAAAAAAAGAAGAATACTTTTAGCTATTCTTGATCTTGTAAATTGACCGAGTAAGTTAAACTTTAATGTGTGCGTAACAAGTTTCCCAGAAGATTAGGGAAAATTCTACGTCAGAAAAATTAACACGTTCAATCTCAACCGGGTCCATTATATAAATAGAAGAGATCTATCGAAGAAGTATACTCCAGGTGTACGTATAAATTGTACCTCTTCCTCCGATAACAGTGAACACCTGTTAATAAATCTAACGATATTATGGACGTAAAATTTCTCTGAATAATTTTGCAATATACAATGTTAACTAAACCAAAAAGAAAAAAAAAATCTGCCCCCAATCTAATTAGTTCCAAGGATTAGCAATAACGTTAACGGTTCAAGAGGAAGAAAAGAAAGTAAAATTGAATAAAGCCATAAATCGATAGTTTACCATCGTAGTTCCGTTGTTCGAGATTTTGCGGCAGGGCAGGTATTTTCTTTCCGGGATGAAGGTAATTCCTCTCGACGGTGGACAAAGGGTCCGTGAGGGCCTTCGCCGAAGCGAGATCACCGGTCGCGCACGCCAGGTGAAGAGCTGTATTTCCACGAAAGTTCCTCAATGCAGGATTTGCACATGCTAGAATTAGTCGCCTGACGATCCTCGGTTGCCTCGTCAACACCGCCAGGTGTAATGGGGATTGGCCATCGTCATTTAGTATATTCAATAGGCAGACATGAGGTGCCATTCGAATTAAGCTGAACGCAGCTTCTAGGAAGCCTTGCACTATGGCTATGTGCAGCTGCCTGAAATAGAGAAAAGAATAATATTAATTATAACCTTAAAGAAAGATTCGTCATATTTGTGTTTGAAATTTCGTTTGAGAACGTTTATTGGCGCATGGCTATCGTTACCCCTTATACTGGCTTAATCGTAATATCCTCTAGCCATAGTTTGATATATTAGCAAACAAACAGTTTGATATATTACTGGAAACTGTTGTAAGATAATGCACGTGTTTACGCGATAGTTCGGTATCGACCTCGAAGCATCACTACGATTTTTTCCTCATTTCGTACAATTTGTTTTTTTCCGTACAAAGGTCAACGGTTTTATCATTCTATATGACGTACATATACCCTATATGATAGTATTCCATTTATTCAATATAAATGACAGATCGATGGTGTTAAGAAAAAAATAATATGGAGTAGAAAGAGAAGGTCTTCACCATCGTGAGTTTGCGCGGAAGTCGAAAAACTGCCGGAAAGAATCGATTGCATCGACTCCTGTCGCCTCATACTCTCTCGACGTTCCACGTATGTATGTATGTATCACGATTCAAAGGATCTCGCGGTTACAACGGTTCAATCGGTTAACGTGCTTCGCGATGGAAAACACGTACAAGACGATTCACGCGTTCACGATGACACGTGACAATATTTGCCTCAATCAACATATTTCCCGTGTAATCGTAAAAACCGTAATTGTAGTCGATAAGGATGTTTATCTTTAAAACACAGAGAAACGATGATAGTCGATACGTTACGTTAAACGATATTAACCTCTATGATTGATCAATACATCGACACTCGAAAGATTGTCGGGATGAACTGATGCATATGTACGAGAAAAGAAATTTCCTATGAATATTAACTGATACGAGGAAAAAAGAGAAGTTATGCGTAGTTTACACGCAAATGATCCAGTCATTGTTTCATCGTACAAACACCAACGTCCATTGAACGATACGCTATTATTATCGTAGCATCGATCGATACACTTGAAAACATTTGTGTCGCTTCAAAGAAGCGCGGGCTACAGGTTGCACCGTTACAGCGGATGCGCAGAACCATACCAAGTATACGTATCAAATAATATGCCGATTTATTTCGCTAGTTAATGATCACATAATTCTTAGTCACATTGGGTATTTCAGAAAAATGACGTCTACTGATTCACATTCATGACAATAGGAAGTTACGAAAACAAAATGACTCGTTCTGAAACAAATTAGCACTACATCTTCCGACGATTAACGTATAATTATTTTATAATCCCTACAGAGCTGACAGTGACAGATGATCGAAAAAAATAATACGTAATATAATAATAAAAAACTGCACTGTTACAAATTAAAGTAATTTCAAGAAGAAATAAGAGCGTCACTTGGACTGTGTAGTAGTAGTTTAATGCTAAGTAACTGCGCATCGTGTTAATAGGTCACGTTTGTTTTCATAGGAAGGAGGGAAAAAAAAGATAGGTTACTTACGTGTCACCGTCGTCGTCCTGTGTGTAGTAGAGCTGCCAAGGTTCCTCATTGAACAGCGTCTCAGGTGATCGATGCGATTCATGCCGTAACGTCGAAGCGTCATGTTGTTCGAGCTTGTCGGTGCTCACCGGAGTCAACTCGACAGTTGGTTCAACCTGAACTTTGCCGCTCGCCAGAGGATTCAATGTAACTTGTTTCAACGTAAGCTGGCTTAAGCTTTCGCTCAAGCCAAGATCCACGCCGCTGTCTACTCTCATTGGTTCTGGTACTACGGGTGCGGTTGTTGCAACATTCAACTCGTAGTCGCCCAGCTCCGAACTCACTTGTAGATTTCCACTAGACAAAAATCCAGAATCAACTTGGCACGAATCACGTTTCTCCTCGCACTTTTGTTGCTCGCTCTCTGGAACATTGCTCTCCATCGGTGTCTTTCTCGGCGGATGCCACATTTTCGATTGTTTAGAATTCAGTTGTACACCAAAGATCGACTCTCCTTTTCCCGCTCGTTGAAAGGAAAACTACCACGCGATTTGTGTAAATACACACAAAGGGACACAGACAGACAAACACATAGGCGCACAGAGCGACGACGTACTCTATATATACGCGACGCTTTTCGAAAATCTCGACGCGACGCTTTTGCGTAGCTTTCCGTCTAGCGAAATTAATTGGCCTTTAACGTTATTTCGTTCGATCTCTCCCACTCTCTCAATGAACACAATTCGTCTCCGTTTCGTTCGTTCGCAAGCGACGCCACTGTTCTGTATTATTCGTGCGAGATCGGACGATAAGAACTTGAACAGCTGGCTGCTTTACATGTGTTCGCTTTCTCGTTGTAGTCGTATTCTCATGTTCGACTTCTTTCGTATATTATCGGCACTGGTTCACACGTCGTTTCACGATAACTTCGCGTTCTTTAGAAAAAACTAATGTTTCACAACTGAATATAGAGATGGAAGCCCTTTCACAGCAAAGAAGGTTATGTAAATAATAAGAGCTTGTGTTTCGACAGAGAAAACGCGGGGGAAGAAGAACGGATGTATATGTGTATAATTCGATAGTCGTGGGAATTCGTGTAATCGTCGTCGAAACACCGGCCAACACGCTGGCTGAAAACGAACTGATTGTACAGTATTAACGGACGCACCGTGTAACTTCTACGATGGCCGCGGCACTGTACAGTGGAGCCTCTGGCGGTAAGGTGGCCAGCGGTAGGGGTGGGAAAACCCACCGTCCTCTGGCAGGGCCAACTGCACGTATACACTGTGTACTCGATTTAACTTGACATTCTTTAGATAACCAGTTTAGAAAAAGAAAGCTGGATCGGAAAGCCCACAAAAATTGCCCCCATGTTTATTTACCTTAAATAATTTCACAATTTTACACAGAAACTGATTTAACACGAAAAACGTTCCTTCGTAATATTTCCGTCTCGATGTTTCCTCGTAAATTTATAATATCTTTTGACGTATATCGATACTTTTTACGAAAATCTCTTGTCGGTTAATTTATGGATTGCACGTTTATCGGATTATTTTTTCGTCAATCACGACGAATGAAAAACAGATTATAAATCTAAATCGGCTCTTACTATGCATTGTCCGACAGAGAGCGACTGATTTTTGCACATCGTGCATCTTCCTTCCAGTCATTTACCTTTCCGTAATTTATCAGACCTGTCAGCCTTACGCTTATCTTCGTTGTTTTTCTGTTCGCGACCGTAAAAAAAAATATCCAACCAAAGCCCAAAAGGCTATTGAACTTCTCTTTGCTAAAATCTGAATTTCGCACTCGAGCTTATCATCAAAAATTTGAATCGAATTTTATTACGATGCTCGCAGCGCAATGGGAAAGCGCCCGTTTGTTGCGAACGTATCGTTACAAACGTGAGTATACGTTTCTATAGGGAGATACAAATTTCACCGTTCTACTTTCTTTCTCGAATTGCTAATCTGTGCCATACAAACTCACAGGAAATTCCACCGGCATTTCCGATCTGGAAACTTTACTAAATTTACGAGTAATCTCAGCTAGGTTATTGCCACATTAGGATATACATATATCGAGATCGAGATACACTAGAACGACGCCCTCGTAACCAACAGAGAATCTCGGTCCTATTCAGGGTCGTTCGAACACGGTTTTCCCCAAAGATGGTTACTGACACCCAGTCTTAAAACAAAGAAAACTCATACCTGTTATCGTTCACTACACAAACGGTCAACACACCGATAATTCCAGACCATTCCCATAATAAGTGCTTTCTTATAATCCGTCGGTTACAACGCCGGCTTTGAAAATAATAGGAAATTGTCGCGTAGAGTGTAAATGAGACTAATTAGTCAGCAAGGAGTCACTAGCGAACGATTGAAAAACGAAAAAGGCTGTAAAAGCATTTGTAAACGATAGTCTTAATCCGTAGGCCAATGACAAATAAATTATATAATTTTACGTAATCGTTAGACAATAATAAATAGAATGTTTTCATGGTTAACCATTGCTTTTTTATCGACAGCTAGTAATGACACGTTCCGAGATAGTGTGAATGGTTTCTTTATAAACTTAATACTGTGAATCGTAAAATAATTTTATTAGTAAAATAAAATGTCTTGTTACTAATATTGGTAAAAAAAGGTATAAATAAATTTTTTCATGGTAACCGCGTGCTGAAATCCAGTATTCGAGCTATCTGGGGAAAACCTGACTTCGATAAGCTTAGAAAATGTATTATCTTTGCATCATTTACGACAATCAATTCACTGGTAAATATACCCTACATTATCTCTAACTTAGCCATTGCACCTTGAACTTACTTTTTGGACGTTGTACCTGCGTCGAGTACTCGTGTACGTGTGTTTTAATTTTCGGTTGCAATTTCATTTCCAACTATCAAGTTAAACAAAATTTTCAATAGTAATTAGTGCTATTAGGGAACAATAGGGTCAATTAATTATTTTTCTAGGAAGTTGGACACATCGATGATATTTTAACCGTACAAGAACTGGGAAAGTACGATGACTCAAAGGTGCAACGGGAAGGTAGAATAAAGTATTGGGACGCTTCATGGTATCCTTCACGAGATAGTCCTGATGCGTTCCTGAACTCTTTCACAAGTATATTTTGTAATGGTTTTAAGTAATAAAATTATAACGCCGTCGTTTAATCGATCACAACTAACTCTTCGATCGATTGAACTTCTTTCATAACTAACTTAATATATGTTTAAATTATTTTTGCATAAAGACAATAAAAAATATAATAAATGATTGAACAAAAAGAAAAGAATAATTATGTATTTTTTATATTATCGCTCACCTGTTAGTTAGAGATGTCTTCGTAAATGCGATGAATGATAATCATTCTAATCGCCGCACATATTTGATCGATGTCAAATGAGTTGTTTGCGTCTTCGGTTAGAAGGAAAAACTAAAAAGTGGTGTAACTCCCTATACGCGATTATGTAGTAAACGTATTCTAAGATTTACTACAGAGAGAAACAGTGTAACTCATATGAGCAGTACGTGCTGCAGCGTGTGCAGACGAGCCGCCAACTGTTTGAATCAACTACACGCTACGACACGGAATTTAAGTTTACACGGGAAATTCCTAATGAAAGTAGGCTTGAATATGCGGGCTCGCAAATTTTTAAACTTGTTTTTGGATAAGAATCGTTTCTGGTACTTTCTCTTGTATAGAATTAAAATTCAAATCACTGAAATATTTTGTAATTTTTTATGATTATAATTTTTATTTTAACAACATTTAGAAGCAATATATTATGTACAGTTATGTTCAAGTATACCTTGTCTTATGAGTGGTTCACACACAGCTCTTGGTAGTAAATGATATGTATTTTTCTTTAATAAAATTACTTGACCATCTTCCAGTTCCAATTTCCCAAAATCCATAACACATTTTACCTAAAATAATATGACACTTAATATTTAATTATTACAAGAAAACATTCTGAGTATTTTATTTCTTTACCTCTACATAAGGAGTTTTTGGAGGCAACATGTTTGCAGTTAAATTAAATCCTTGATCTTCTCCTAAGGATCTCATATATATAGCTAAGGATTTGTTGTATGATTGAAACCATTGAATTTCAGCATTCAATAAATTAGAATTTATTTCTGGAGGCATGATGCTTCCTAGTTCCCATCGTAGTTCTCTTAATTTTCTCATTCTGTTGTGTATATATGCCAAAATACACCTTTTGTTTCTTGTCAGTGCTATATGTCTCAATTGTACTGATGGTAACAGTGCCATGTTATCATCATTTCGGATTGCATTGCTGAAACATGGGAAATACATTTTTTTTTAAATCTCTTATACAATTTTAATTAATATAGCTATATTCTACACAAACCTATCAGCCATGTTTGCCTCGTAGAGAGATTGCATCTCGTTTAAAACTTCTTTAACTAGTGCTTCCTTTAAAAAAAAAAAAACATTTATTTTAAATTACTATACAATTAGACTTAATTAAATATAATATTATACAACCTACATTAAATGGTTGTATGTTAGTTTGTAAATCTAATTCTGTTACAAGCTTGAAAGCTTTTCTTCCAAACATTTTTAATTATTATATTACAAATTTTAACAAATATAATACTACTGATTTCAACAATGAATACAATATTTTAAAATCATCTGTTACATAAAATAAACAAAGTGTTTACAGTCAATGGTAGCGACATCTATAAAGTATGTGCTTTAAGTGACCTCTAACACGAAATTGAGAGTTGTTGTTGAAAAACATTTAGGTTATTGTTTTAATAATGTATACTGTGCGAATGCAATAATATAAATAATTTCTGTATAAAAATGTCGATTCTTAGAAATCTTATTACAAAACTACAAACATGTCCATATCAAGCTTTAACGTTTTGCACAAAAGCAGTTACAGAACAAAATAGTCCAATTATTTCCAAAATAAAGTATGCAGATGAACATTTCTTTTACCAAAAACCACGAGAAGTGTGGCTAGAAAATTTAGATACCGTTGAAAGAAAAAAGATAGGACTTGTAACTTTGCATCCTGACGTTTATGCAGTATCTCCGCGGATAGATATTATTCATCAAAATGTTCGCTGGCAACGAATGTATAAGTTTGTGGTAATTATTAAACTTTATTAATTATCTCCATGAAATTTAGTTCAAAAAATATAAAATAGATAATTTAATGTTTCATTTCAGAGTTATGCACATACAAAGACTCGTGCAGAAGTAAGAGGTGGTGGCAGAAAACCTTGGCCACAAAAGGGATTGGGACGTGCACGTCATGGAAGTATACGTTCCCCGCTATGGAGAGGTGGTGGTGTTATACATGGTCCTAGATCTCCTACAACTTATTTCTACATGCTTCCCTTTTATACTCGTGTTTTTGGACTTACATCTGCATTGTCTGTCAAATTGGCTCAAGATGATTTATACATCATTAAGGATATGGAAATACCAACAAAAGAATCATCATACATTGAACAATTAATAGAAGAAAGGCACTGGGGTCCTTCTCTACTACTTGTTGATACTGATGATATCATGCCTCCAAACATTACAGAAGCTACAGATGAATTGAAACATGTCAATTTGATGCCTGTATATGGTAAATTATCTGCTAAGAAATTTTAATGTTACGTATATTACATTATATTAAATCTTTATTTGTTTTCTAGGGTTGAATGTCTACAGCATGTTAAAACATGATACATTAGTTCTGACTGAAAGAGCTGCACGTTTAATTGAAGAAAAAATATTATTTCAATTGCACAGGCCAGATGCTGTTAGAAAAATAGAAAAGTTTAAACTTAATCAGCAATAAAATCTAGAAAAGAATGGAATTAAATACATGTTTATTACTTATTAATATTATTGTATTTATTTTCAATGACAGTAAATGATCTTTCCTTATAATAAATCAATATGATTATCAATACAATTATCCTTACAATTATGTATTCCCAAAAATTTCATCCCTAGTTGAATAAAAGTCATTTTCTTTTTAATATAGGCATGCTCGTCGATTTTCTAGGAAGAGGCTGAAAATGCAAATATTAATGACCAAAAAAAGAAAATAAATTGGTTTTGTACAAAATTCTTACCATGGGATGAGGATCTCCACCTAGCATTTTTGCACGAATTGCCCACCTTACATTTGCATGTTTAGCTTCTCCAGGAAAAGATATTTGTTTCCATTCCTGTTGATACTTTTGATAAAGCATAACAGGATCAGATTTTTTAGCATTCAAATTTTTCTGAGCTTCTGGTTGTAATCTCCATGGTCTAATAACTGTACAGAATGACAAAATATAAAATTGTTATATTCATCTTGTGTGATATGAAACATGTTAAAATCTTACATGATTTGGTTCCAGAATTAATGTTTTTTGTAGATGATGAACTTTTTGTTTGGCTACTTCCAATGTATTCTTGTTGGTGTTGTAAAATATTTGGAGCACTCATAGGACGAAGAGTTTCTAAATGTGTTAGCCTTTCTTGATATAATATTTTATCATTTTCATCCTTTGTTTTACTTTGTTGGAAATCTGTTTTCAAACATTTCACATGGTTATCTTTAGTTCTTATGTAAATTTTGTCATCATCATTATCATAAGACATACTGCTAGATTTAACACTACAATGATCCACTGTCCTTCTGGATTTAGAGTTGAATTTTGACATATCCACCTTTTGTCTTGTATTTGTATAACTTTCTTCAGAACTGATAAAGTTTCTATTTTCTTTGTCACTTGATAAACATTTTACTTTAACTTTTACTAGGGAGTCATTAATATAAGAATTAGAAGAATTACTAGTTATTGTATTTTCAACTGAATGTAATTCAGCATTTTGTTCTCTAAGAATTTCTCTAATCATATTTTGTTGTTTATCTAATATTTTCTTTTTAATTTCTTCTTTTCTCTGCTGTCTCTCACGATCTTTCATTTTCCTGTACAACTTTAAATCTTATAGCAAAAAAAAAAAGAAAAGAAAAACACAAATTAGTGTACATATACGCGATATATAAAATATTTAAAAAATAACGATTATAAAAGTACAGAAAAAATTGTTAACGGCAGTACCTTTCATAAAAGCTTTAAGTTGTTCAGCGGTAATTCCAACGAATCCTAAGGAATTTAGAAGAACAAGTACCTCTCTTGGATCGTCATACATTGTTGATGAAATTATATGACAACAATGAAAATTGTCAGTGTTCGTTTTCACAATTCAAATGACAGAGACGTTGAAGTTATATACACCATGAATCATAAATTACTTATAACTGCTTAGGTGGTATGACGAATATTTACTTAATACAAAATTAATACGAAATATAGAAAATTTATTTCCTATTTAAACACTTCATTCACATTATCGATAAATGAAAATTTATGTAAAACATTTTTCTATTCTTTATTTTGTACGTACAATGTTTTGTAGAATAAAAATATTTGCTGGGTGTACACTCTATAGAATAGATATACTTAAAGCCAGAGACTCTCAGATGAAACCTAACGAAAGTTTATACGCCATCTTTTAGAGAAAGTATCAACTAAGAAGACCGTCTGCAAGAATTCAAAGAATTCGCGGAAGGTATCAAAAATCGATCGTCACATCGATCACATTTTTCATGAAAATACACCTATTCAAATACCGATTAATAAAGATGTTTCAATCAAATAAACGTCTCGGTTAATTACTTTGTTCAATATATAAGTCTAGTTCTATCACTAAAGATTTCTTTATCGTGTTTTGTATGCTACATACTACAATAGAACAGTTTGGCTAAAATCTACGTGTACAAGGGATTTGTGAATTTGTTTATTTTCATTGATATATCGAATTAGAAATTTCACCAAGTATCATATCGCGGAACACGTGACTGCGTGTACGTTAAAGATTACGGTGAAAACAGGCGCTGGCGAGAAGATATAGCTTCAAGCACCGATCCTCGAGATCATCACTTCGTGTCCGGCTCTCATCCGTAAAGGGTTCGTAACTTGGCATCCTCAGGATTGTCGTCTCGCGTGTATTTTTTAAATATAACATTTTTTTACGTGATTTATTATACCATTTGTGAATTTTCTAACTAAATTTCGAATACTACGTAGACATACTATTTTATCGAGTTTTTATCATTTTTTTGTTATTTAAATCTATTAATTTTAAGAGCGAAAGTTGTATAAAAATTAACCGAGAAAATGATTGCGGTTTTCAGATAGAGTGTTCATTTAACATACACATTTTCCATTGCATCCAGCAGCAGATTTCCAATCATGAAGATGAATCGCATGCTCCTGATACTGCTCCTCATGGGTAAGCGATATTTAATTTTTGTTAATAATAAATACCTATATATCAATGTTATTTATAATACTATTCGGAGATTTATCAAATTATTACCGTGCCAAAGGATTTTAAAATTGATCGAACCGCAGCCCTCGCGATAATCTCCACTTTAAACAGATAAATCCATCAAACAGTGCTTTAGCTAAAGCAGTCCCTGCGGTATTAATACATTAATTGCTGAGCTTCTCATTAACGAAGGAGAAGAAGCACGGTAAAATAAAAAATTACAAAGATTTTTCACCATCTCTCGTTTTCTAATTATTACAAATAAAGAGAAAAAGTGATTATTTTAAGTGCAACATTAAACCATAAAATACAACGAAAGTCATATTACTACATTCAAAACTTGTATTAAAGTTTAATCAAGTTATACATTACTTCAAGTATCATGTAAATGCAATAACTTGCTTAACGTCCACCGCGGAGCGTTGGCGTCTCTCGTGGCATTCATAAATGCATCTTTCTTTAGTTTTCTGAATAAGTTATTTTTTAACTTCACGGTAGAATTCATTTTTTATCTGATTAAAAAAAATTTCTTTTTGCAATTAAGTAAAATATGAATCTATCTTCACAATACAGTATGCGCCTTGTGGAGCTTTGGAGATACTATAAACTGTAACAATTGTGGCCTAATGTGCTCCAATGTATGCGGAACTTCGCGGTTTCAAGCTTGCTGTCACAACTTCATGAAAAGGGGGATTTCATCCTATGTTGACGTATCGGAAATATAACGCACAATAATGATGTAAAATATTCTTCACTACTACTTCGATGTGCTTCGTTGAATTCAAAAATGTTGTATGTTATATATACTCAGGGAGAATCTTGTAATTGTAATTACAAACTTTTTAATTTAACGATGTACACTTGTTGAAGTACAGCAGATTAAATATATCGAGCATCTCAAAATAACTTGTTATTATTTGTCATATTTTTCGTGGACACGTTTAAAGAATATAAAAATAAAAGGAAACATCTTGCGTAAAAAAACAATATTTATTTGTAATTCCCCTTTTTTATGTTACAACTTAAGTGGTCCAACTTTTTATGCGTTTCATTACGTTTTTTATTATTATCGATTGCTTGGTTGACAGAAACGTTGAAGGCATGAATCATAAATTACCTATAACTGCTTGGATGATTTGATGAATATTTACTTAATACAAAATTAACACGAAATATAGAAAATTCATTTCCTGTTTAAACATTTCATTCACATTATCGATAAATGAAAATTTATGTAAAACATTTTTCTATACAATCTTTTATTTTATACGTCCAATGTTTTGTAAAATAAAAATATTTGTTGGGTGTACACTCTATAGAATACATATACTTAAAGCCAGAGACTCTCAGATGAAACCTAACGAAAGTTTATACGCCATCTTTTAGAGAAAGTATCAACTAAGAAGACCGTCTGCAAGAATTCAAAGAATTCGCGGAAGGTATCAAAAATCGATCGTCACATCGATCACATTTTTCATGAAAATACACCTATTCAAATACCGATTAATAAAGATGTTTCAATCAAATAAACGTCTCGGTTAATTACTTTGTTCAATATACAAGTCTAGTTCTATCACTATAGATTTCTTTAAAAACGTTTATACAACGAACAATCTAATCGGTAGCTGCGCAGAACCTTTCACCTGTGCTTGATTTAAGTTTAACGAAGCATACTTAATTGTGCATCAATCTGAAAACTGTTCTCAGAAAATGTCGTCAGCAACATGCACAGTTTTTCTCTTCGCCACTGCAGTAATAATAAACCCTTTTCCAGGTAAAAATGTTTTCAATATTTGTAATAATCATAATTCTAGATTTGCAATTTGTAATAAATAATAATTTTAGTAACTTGACGTTTCGTGTGAATCGATTGAAAATGAAATTATTTTCAGACATATACGCTTCAAAAATTTACTCCTTAGACGTTCCACAAGTAGTGCGTAATGGTACTGGACCGATCGATCTATCTTGCATTTACAATGTTAAAGAAGAGGAGAACGGCCTTGTGATAAAATGGTACCACAATATGGACCAAATCTATCAATGGATACCACCAAGTAATTTCAACTATAGTTACACTTGAAAAACACTTCGTATGGATCTATTCCTTTTTCTTGTAATTCCAATCACAGTGCCGCCACAAGATACAGGAGTTATAAACGGATTTGCAGAGTACCCTGAACAAAATTTGATGCATTCTTATTCACGATCGATAATACAGTTGAGAATGGTCACGATCGAAATGAGTGGCGAATATACTTGCACGATCAGCACATTCCAAGAAGAAGATTGGATGACGACAGAAATGCTTGTTTATAGTAATTCAGTAGTTGTGAATGGCAATTCAGATAAAAATCATGAAATACCTACGTTATTATTAATACTATTGTGTTACAGTGCCAGAAATAACCGCGACAATTCATGTAAATTCTTTCAACGAAAGTCATTTGAATCTAACCTGTGTAGCAAACGGAGCACAACCGCGGCCAATGTTAAAAATCTATATAGAAGGAATCGAAGTGGATAATTACTATGATGCAACTGTGAAGCCAATAGGACACGAAAAAATCAATTCGGTGAAACGGAGTGCGATAACGAGCAACACTTTGGAACCAATGCTATTGGAGTGTGAGATTTCTGTACCACACACAGATTACAAACGCAGAGAAAGGATCGTTTTTTATCCCAGTTCGAATCGTTTCAATAAAATTTATAAAATAATCAAAGTATTGAGATATACAGTATGTCCGGTTTATCTCAGAATACTGAAATATCTCGAAAACTACGAATGATACAAAAAAATATTTCAGATAAAAGTTGTAGGGTAAAAAGTTCTTGTACAGGTCACGTTTAAGTTTTTATATGGAAACGTATATTTTTGAGTATGTATTCTTGTACCTGATATCGAGACGTGTTCAAAACACTGCATACCTGTGCTTTTTGCGTAAATTCTTTTTGATATATCAGCCTCCAAGCTTTACATGCAGCCGGCATTATCGGTATCCGATGTAGGTACAGCGCATGGTCGGTCGAACTTTGTATTAGAATCATCAGCTGATGTGGTCTCTTCGTATGAACTGTTCTATTGGATGCACTATTATTGCGTAAAAGATCACTGAATTCTGAACACTGATTCCTTGACCTCTGCAATTCCTCTTTTCTCTCACGACTTTCCGGCATGTTATTTTTTGCATATTAAAGGAAAAGGGAGACAACAGATGTGAGTGGATATTCCATGTGTTGGAAAATTCCGTTAAATACTCGAATAACAGAAAATCGCGGTTTGCCGAATTTTTCTGACAATTGCAAATTCAGTGTTTTTTACGAGATTTGTATGTATGATTTTTTTTTAAAACGTCTCGATGTCAGCTACAAGATTACATACTCAAAGTATACGTTTCCATTTAAAGACCCCTTAAACGTGACTTTTACAGGATTTTTCAAGGTTATTGCAAGCTCAAACAAATACCATAACAATATATAGTATATGTATATGTATACCCTACAACTTTCATCTGAAATATTTTTTTGTATCATTCATTGTTTTCAAGATAGTTCAGTGATCTGAGATAAACCGGATATTCTTGTACATGTGCAATTCTATTTTCTATTACTTTCAGCTCAGATGTTGTCACAGACGAGTAGCAGTGCATCGAAGTATCAAATTAGTATCATCCTTTACATATTATCAGTAATGAAATAATACGAATGAGACAGCAGAGAATAAGAAATGTTTACGTGTTAAGTTTAACGTGTATTTATTTTATATGAAATTCTTTATCGTGTTTTGTATACTACATACTACAATCGAACAGTTTGACTAAAATCTTGGTGTTCAAGGGATCTGTGAATTTGTTTATTTTAACCCTTTACACTTGAAGGTCCATAGACCTGCTGTCTTGGAGCATATCATCCTTAGAGTTTCCTCTAATGGTAAATAGAATGTCGTTTCTCAGTCGCCTCTCGAGTGCAAAGGGTTAATTGACATATCGAATCAGAAATTCCCCGAAGTGTCATATATTCGCGGAACACGTTACTGCGTGTACGTTACGAATGACGAGGAAAACAGGCGCTGGTGAGAAGATATAGTTTCAAGCACCGATCCTCGAGATCATCACTTTGTGTCCGGCTCTCATCCGCAAAGGGTTCGTAAATTGGCATCCTCAAGATTGTCGTCTCGCGTGTATTTTTTAAATATAACATTTTTTTACGTGTTTTATTATACCATTCGTGAATTTTCTAACTAAATTTCGAATACTACGTAGACGCACTATTTTATCGAGTTTTATCATTTTTTTGTTTTTCAAATCTGTTAATTTTAAGAGCGAATGTTGTGTAAAAATTAACCGAGAAAATGTTTGCGTTTTTCAGTTTGAGTATTCATTTAACATACACATTTTCCATGGCATCCAGCAGCAGATTTTCTAGCATGAAGATGAATCGCATGCTCTTGATACTGCTCCTCATGGGTAAGCGATATTTAATTTTTGTTAATAATAAATACCTATATATCAATACTATTTATAATACTATTCGGAGATTTATCAAATTATTACCGCGTCAAAGGATTTTAAAATTGGACGAACCGCAGCCCTCGCGATAATCTCCGCTTTAAATCAAACAGTGCTGTAACTAAAGCAATCCCTCCGGTATTATTACATTAATTGCTGAGTTTCTCATTAATAAAGAAGAAGAAGCACGGTAAAATAAAAAATCGCAATGAATTTTTCACCATCTCTCGTTTTCTAATTATTACAAATAAGGAGAAAAAGTGATTATTTTAAATGCAACATTAAACCATAAAATACAACGAAAGTCATATTACAACATTCAAAACTTGTATTAAAGTTTAATCAAGTTATACATTACTTAAAGTATCATGTAAATGCAATAACTTGCTTAACATTCACCGCGGAACGTTGGCGTCTCTCGTGGCATGCATAAATGCATCTTTCTTTACTTTTCTGAATAAGTTATTTTTTAACTTCACGGTAGAATTCACTTTTTATTTGATTAAAAAAAGTTTCTTTTTGCTATTAAATAAGACATAAATCTATCTTCGCAATACAGTATGCGCCTTGTGGGACTTTGGAGATACTCTAGATTGCAACAGTTGTGGCCCTGACTGCGTTCGTGTATGCAACAGCCCTCTGCTGTTTCAAGCTTGCTGTCGCAACACCATAGATACTTAGGTTACAAGCGCATGTGGACGCATCCGAAATATAACGCACAATACTGCTGTAAAATATTCTTCACTTCTACTTCGATGTGCTTCGTTGAATCCAAAAATGTTGTATGTTACATATACTCAGGGAGAATCTTATAATTGTAATTATAAACTTTTTAATTTAACGATGTACACTTATTGAAGTGCAGCAGATTAAATGTATCGAGCATCTCAAAACAACTTGTTATTATTTGTCATATTTTTCGTGGACACGTTTAAAGAATATAAAAATAAAAGGAAACATCTTGCGTAAAAAAACAATATTTATTTTTAATTCCTTTTTTTTTTATGTTACAACTTAAGTAGTCCAACTTTTTATGCGTTTCGTTACCTTTTTTATTATTATCGATTGCTTGGTTTCTTTTGAAGAAGCCTCTAATTTGTCTAGTAATTTTTTACTTTTATTTCGAATCATATTCCATTGTAATTTGTCGAAGCCGGGATATGATTCTTTGCCTAATAGTGCGAGTAAATCCGACTTTTTTTTAACGTCGTCAAAAGTTAATAGTTTTTGCGCAGTTTTGTTCTTTGTCAATTTTTTTGGTTTTCCTGTTATGTTTTTAACTTTTTTTACACTTGTACTTTCAGTATGAAATTCATGATCATTATTCTGAATGCTTGTTGCTGGATCATACTTTTTTTCTTTTGTTTCTTCAACTTTTATGAATTTTTTTTGCTCTACGTTTTTAGAGCTCGTTTGTGCATCTTGAGCGCGTTTTAAATTAAAAAGGTGGCGATTAATAATTGCTATAAAATAAAGTAAATTTTATAACATTTGTTTTTATAAGCATATAGTGCTTTTTTATTATAAAAGTGTATATTTGAAACATAAGTTTTATACCTCCTGTATCATCATCAGGCATAATATTGCTATTTTCGATATTTGTTACTGGATTCTGTATATATTCTTTCCCCACATTTAAAGATGCAATTTCAGATTTTGTTTCTTTGCTAAGATCTTGTACATCTGAAAGTATCTCTTCATCTGAATCATAGTCACGAGGAGTAATTAATTTGAACATAGTATTTGTTACTGCATGATTTTTGGGAACCCTGTACAAATGTAAATTATTTAATTGTGACAATTTTGCATAATAGCTCATTATATCTGTCCTTCATATACCTAGGAGTAGGTTCATCTATCCACGGTACTAATAGCCATGATTTTAAATCACTTGGGAATACATAATTTTCAGGAAGCCAGTATGATCCAGAATCTTCGAATAATCTTAGATAATTATATAAACTGTTATACCAAACACATGATTGTTTAACTAGGTGCCTTGATAAGATCCTATAGGATGTATCAAATTTCTGTAGATACTATTCATTAATTTATAATAGATAATAGAAAAATAACATACCATATTCTACTTACAACAGAGTATGCAATAATAGCAGTACCCCATGAATGACCTATATTTATTCTACACTTAAGAAAATGTGCAGAGTATTTAGAAACCTCTTCTATACGTAACATGAGTTTTGCAAAGCCTTGTGTTTTAACCAAAACACATTCTACCATTTGTTTGCTAGGTAATGTAATATACTTTTCACCTATACTAACATAATCCTTCAAATTTTTATAATCTTTTTCAAGAGATAGCATTAGATACTTGAGCAAGGCTTTATTCACTTTAGACATTGACTTAAGACCTTTGTCATTTCGAAATTTACTTTTCATACGATAAATTAATCTACTTAGAATTGCTGCTTCTTTGTGCAACAGTTCTTGAGAAGTCAAGTTTTGTATAACTTTGTCTAGAGTCGTCAGAAATCTACATGCATCTAACAATGGTACAAATTATTAACAACAATTATTTCTATATAAAAGACTGGTATGCGAATTTTCTTTTCCTCTAATTTATAAAACAAACTTACCGACTTTTTGACATGCAATACGACAACTCGCATTTGGTGGACGGTCTAATTGCACGTGGTTCCAAATTGCTTCCATGTTAATTATTTATTTTAATTGCAATTTAGTCTCAATATTCAATTTCGCATATTCAAAACATAACCTTACTTTTTACACGTGTGTACATTCGATCGGCATAAAGGCGTATACATATATAGTAAAAAATTATTTTTTATTCATCTTCGTCAACAAATTATAATTTACAATGTATACATCGAAACAATATGCATATGCTTATGTGTAAAGATAATACAGATTCGTACAAATATATATCTTGGTTATGTGTAATGTACAACGAAATATTATCGGGGACGGCAATACATAACCATTCCTAGAAAATCGGTAGGTTTAATCGAGGCAGGTCGACACAATACAGGACTATTTGGTGGAGGACTTAGAGGAACTAATTTATGGACTCCACGATACCTGAGGCCACCTTGCACTAACGGACGATATATTAAATTTGTCCCAGGACCATAACCCTGCGGCGAATTCGCATGCTGTTTAAATCTCCAACACGCAATTTAAATAACTTAGTAACTGAGCAAATAGTAGGAATGTGAAATTATGTACCTAAATCTGTATTACATTTGTGAGTAATAAATTGATATTAAATCTTTACCTGACTGCTTTTATTGATTCTATTCTACGGCAATACGGTTCATTAGTTCTTTGTTGTTCGGTATTTAATAAAGGTAAATTGCACGTTGTTATTGTACAACTCGATCTATCGAAATGATTTAGTGGACAAAGATCGCATATTATTCTCCTATAATTCATTTCCATTTTAATTGATTCACTTATAAATTTTACTAGTACCAAACATTTTATAAACGCGAAAATTAATGTGACGATAAAGTTATCGAAAACCGAAAAATTGAAGGTAGCAATAACATTTGTTTTGTATACATTTGTATACGAAACATTTACTAATATTTGTACATAGTACAGGACGTTTAAAGGAAAGAGTACCAGTCACTAAGCTTTGGCAATAAATGTTTTATTTTTGGGCAAGATTTGGGGTAAGAAGGCGGGCAAAAAATTCAACAAGTAAATGGCACACAAGGATAACACTTAATTGACCCAATATAGTACAAGCCACCGGTAGTAATAGGTGCTCTTATGATAGGTCCGAATTCAAAAGGTGCAGGAACTGGCTTAGGTAAAGGTGCACAGGTGATACATGGTTGACCTGTGCAAGGTGGGCAAACGAAAGAACGCGGTGGACATGGTAAAAGTGGGGATTGAGGGGGACATGGCATGCAGGTAACTGGCATAGGCGGAGGACAATTAGGTTTTTGTTTAGAACTGCACGATGGTGGACCACATGGGTAACAACACATGGGCTCAGTTGGACACACTGTGGTGCACACTGATGGACATTGCGGTTCCATTGATGAGCAACAGTCACTTCTAAAATAAATGATCATTAAATTAGTTGCCATTGCAGTTACCGAATAACAAGATTACCGTACCTTTTAATTACTTGTATTGGATCCTTTCTCGGTGCAGGTAGTTCGCATTTTACGAACACCGACATCTGATTTGAGATGTATTTATAAAACTCCAAATTTTTCTATTTTCCTATAAAAGCTTTTAAAATGAACGCCTGAAGTTCGACGTTGTAATATTAGAATGATATATCGATAAAGGATTATTCACATCAGTGAATATAGACAAATTCAATTGTTATGCGGAAGTAAAGTTCTTTTTTTTTATTGTTAATGTATTTTATTCATGTAATCATTGTATAAATTTATCAAAGATGCAGGAGTTCGAGGGGTAATTATGGATAGTGCCGCTTTAAAATGTTCCTTAGTGATTATAGTAGCATTCAAATCTTCCTCAAGTGCTTTCATAGCAGCTTCATGACATATTGCTTGCACTTCTGCCCCAGAATATCCTTCTGTAAGATCGACTAGATCTTGAATCTGTACATCTTCGGCAATTGGCATGTTTCTTAGCTTTATATCAAAAATTTCTTGTCTAGTTTCATAGTCGGGTAATGGCACATATATTATCCTATCCAAACGACCTGGGCGAAGGAGAGCCTGCAGAAAATCAATGTTCCAATTGATAAAAAATGATTTGTTAAATATGGCTAATCATTGTAATTTGACTGACTTTATCAATTTTATCGGGTCGATTAGTTGCTGCCACTAATGTAACGCTTCCCAACGCAGTAACACCATCGAGTTCTGTTAATAATTGCGCCAGAACTCGTTCTTGCACGTTACTTCCTGCGCTGGACGAAGAACTTCTTTCGCCTCCCAAAGCATCGATTTCATCGATAAATACTATAGAAGGTGAAACTTGTCTTGCTTTTCGGAATACCTCTCTTACGGCTTTTTCAGATTCGCCGACCCATTTTGAGAATAATTCTGGTCCCTAAAAATAATGTATATTTAGAGAATAAAGAAATCTTTAGAACAAACATCAACGTGTCTCACCTTTATGTTTAAGAAGTTTACTTTACTTTCTGTTGCAAGAGCTCTTGCGATCATTGTTTTAGAACAACCCGGTGGTCCAAACATGAGAACTCCTCTAGGTGGGGTTATGCCCATCCTCAAAAATGCTTCAGGATGACACAGTGGCCATTCGACTGCTTGTTGTAATTTTAATTTTAAATCTTTTTGCCCCCCGATGTCTGACCACCGAACATTCGGTACTTCTATTAAAACTTCCTTCATGGCTGATGGCTTTGACACAGCCAAAGCACGATCGAAGTCCGCTGATGTTACTTTTGAAAGTTCAGATGTAGCGTTTGTTTTTTGCCGACGTTTTACAGCATTCAGAATTGCTTGGGAACATAGGCCATATAAATCCGCGCCAATAAATCCATGAGTAACAAATGCGATATTTGCCACGTCATCTTTAGACAAAGTATTTGGTATTTTCGATAACATTTTCTGCAATATTTCCATGCGCATGGTGGGAGTGGGTACATAAATTTCGAATTCTTTATCTATTCTCCCTGGCCTCCTGAGAGAACTATCCACAAAATCTAGTTTGGAAGTCGTAGCTAGTATCACGACGTTATCATCAGTGTTTTGTATGTCGTCGAAAAGTGCAATCACTTGTGACAGAACTCTCCTCTCATGATCTGTACTGGAAGTACTTCTTTTAGGACATAAGCTATCGATTTCTTCTATTAAAATAATGCTTGGAGCTTTAGTTTTGGCTTCCATGAAAATATCTTGCAATTTTTGTTCTGTTTCCCCAAGAGATTTACTGTAAATATCTGAAGTGTTAATAGTGACGGAATTGATATCGTATTGTGATATTAAGGCATTGGCGATAATAGATTTACCAACACCAGCGGTACCATACAGTAATATTCCTTTATTAATGTAAAAATCTCCAATGCTTTGGCATCTACCAAGACCAATATCAAGAACATCCTTGATGTCTTCCATTAATTTATCATATCCACCAACATCTTTTACTTTATATTTAACTTTTTTCTGCTCTTTTTCTTTGTTCTCTTGTACATCATTTATAATAGTCCATTTTGTGTTATAAAGTACTTTGTATAATTTTATGTTATGTGCTTGATCTTTTATATTCAATTGTTCAAGTTGTTCGTGTAAATCATTATTTACATGCTCATCTGATAAAACCTGAGTAATCCTATACATTAATTTCTTCCCATAAAAAGGCACACTGAACTTATTACCCACAGAATATATTTTATGCTCATTATAATTTTTTAGTATTATGTTAAGTTCCATGGTTGCTTCTGGTAATGTGTATTTTCCAACATTACAAATTATGAATTCCTTGGCAATATTAACAGGGCAGTCTAATTTTTGGATTTTAACTAGACCTCGAAGATCATTTAATTCCATTGCTGCAAGAAATATGTCGATAGAACAATTTTTGTATACTTTATTTGGAAAAGTTGAGCAAAAAATGTACCATGCTTTGTTAGTGATATACTTGTTAAGCTTTTATCTTTAGTTGGCCAGGCTGTTTTAACAACTGTGTTCTCTACAGTAGTCACAAGTACAGGATCTCCTATTGCAATTTCACATAGTTGCAAGGCATTGTGTGATACAAATACTATGTCATCTAATGCCCTTTCAGAAACATTTTTTGGCTGTTCTATGCAAGAAACATTTATGTAAAAGAATGATACAAATAATGATAAATATAGCAGCATATATACCTGGTGATTTATATGTTTCTATGGTACCATATAATACATTATTGTAAATAAAATCATGGTTCCATTTTTGAAGATTGGGTGGGCAATTAGTATCATGGTTTTCTACACATTTTTGTGGTAAAGTAATTTGACATTTTTCACAAGTCATCCAAGGAGAAAGACTTTTTCTCCCACTTTCTCTTCCTTTCGAAGTCATTCTGAAATAATATAATTAACTATTAAGTTGAAGCCATAAATGTCTACTTTCTTATCTTAAAATGTAACTTTATAAAAGAATTCTTTTTTTTTTTGCGAGTGTGATAAGAACACTTTGCTGAGAAAACATAACCTATAAATCATATGTGAACGTTTAAAATTAAATATCGCAGAAAAAAGAAATACCTTTATAAAACACGAGTGTTGAGATGCTCTTAAGTAACAGTTTTTATTGCTAAACTCGATACAAAATATATAACTCCATAGAAATATTTACAATGAAATGCCATCTACCCAAACACACGTTCTCAATCGGTATGCAGCACAAGACTAGATTATCTACAGAATGATGGCAACACTTGACAAATAAACGAACTAGTATTCAATGATAAATTATAGATAAAGTGATATTAGATAGTGATATAGATAAAATTATTTCAGTAAACAGAAAATGTAGCAGTTTATTTAATTAATTAACCTAAAGATATAAGCGTAATATATATGTACATAATACTCAAGTAGTATCTTAGAAACAATTGGATAGTCTTAAACTATACTTTCAAACTTAACGAACTATAGTCTACTTAGAGGATCTACAAGATCACCGGGATAAAAACAGTATTACAGGAATTAAGAATTGCAAGTTAATATTCGAATAACGACAATAATTCCCTGAAACTGAAATCATCGTCGTTGCATTGCTGCACGTGATGACGAACACGAAGTGCTCACGCAGACGTTTCGATGCAATCGGAAACGATGATGCAGTTGGACGAGTCTTCGCCGGCACGATAGACGTTATTGCGGTAAAAAAAACGCTCAAGAGGAAAAGGATGTATGATTCTCCCTTCCTTGTGCCTCCTCTTTTTTCCTGGCTACCGATACGAGATACGAATATACACCGAACTCATCGAATTCTCCCGGGTGCACATGAACCATAAAACAGAGGTAGGGTATCGCGAATATGCAGGTTGCCAAGGATGTTAGTTCGCTGAGTCAATCCTACACATATTACGATAACGAAATATACTTCGAAGTCAAAATCGATCTCGATACACGAAATAGGTTATACGTTATAATTGTCAAATTTCGAATAATCCTTTTGAAAAATCTATCAAATAATATCCTTAATTAATTTCGTATTATTTAATAAACCGTGTGTAATTCGAGATTACAAAAATTCTTATAACTTTGAATTTTTTTAGCATTCCATGTAACTCTCGTAACGTGTAAGCGTTTATTAATCCGTATCGATGGAATTCGTTGGACATGGCATATAATACGTCTATAGTACCGAAAGGGTTAAAGGAAGGGCTATCGATAATGGAAAATTGGACCGATGGAATGTTGACGTTCACATGCTGGCCGAGATGAATCAGGTTCGGCGGGGCATAAAATCAGCACAGCATCAGGCGCATCAGCGATCGCGGCAGGCAGGCAAGAGGCAAAAGACCGATGGATGGACGGGCCAGCCGTCACGAAGCGGGCCGATGTTCCCGTACCAAACGAGATTAATAGAGATCCGCCTGTCAGCCGGACGCCTCTCCGTCTGAGCGAGATCCAGTGGCTTCCAGACGGCCAGTCTTCTCGCAGATCGCAACCTGCGTGGGCAACAACCGATCGTGATCGATCGCACGGTGCGTCTCTCTGGACTACTGCTTTTGCATGCCCAGTGCGTGCAGAGTCCAAGAGTATAAAAGCGTGTACCACGAAATCTTCTAGTCATCCGGGCATACGATAGAGTAATGAGATAATTAACCACTGTGACAAATTAGCCACGATTTTCGTCCACGCGTCGACGCATTTCTACGGATTTTTCTTACACTTACGCGTTTTTAAAACAGACATTAGAATCGTCTCTGATAAAAACGCCGCGGTGCACGAAATCGAAAACGACAAGTCAACGACAGTCTACAGAATTTCGTCGTTTTAATCGCGTTCGACCGACTCACGTCCATCGTTATTCGTACCGATGCGAATACAAATCACAAGGGGTCGGTGGGCCGTATTCGGTGGCTTCACCTTAGTTTGCCTCGCCAATTTGCGATTAGGTAGGCACCGCATCGCTCTTTTTCACTATGATTCATTATCTCTCTCCACCCTCTTCTCTGTTTTATTCTCCTTTTCTTTCTTCTCTCTTTTCTCTTTGCTCTTTGGTCGAGTCTTTCTCCTTATTGCTTGTTTCTGACCATATTCTATGTATTTCTGAATATTCTTGACACAGAGCTAGTAGTATAGTAGTACGAAGTAAGCAGCGTTGTTAAGAAGGATTTGATACAAGGGCTGTTTCTGTTTCAGCCATCGGCGACAAGAATTCAGACGACGAAGACAGAGTACACATGGAAGAGGTGCGACAACATGTGTGCTGTGCCAGACATGAAAAGATGATCGACGTTGGATACGGTAAGCGTACGAGTAATTAAAAGAGAAAAAAAGAACAAAAGAAAGAAATATTAAAGATAGAACGGAAAATTACAAGATTGAGAGATACGAACGAAGACGATCGTGGTGTGATATAGAGGAGAAATTGGACATAGAGATTTGGCGAAGAAGAGAGAGAAAGAGAGAGAGAGAGAGAGTTGCGTAATTTTCGCAACCGGCTAAATGTAAATTACGTTCCCTCGTTTCGCATTTGCCGCCCCATATTTATGAGTGGTAAACGCCGGTGGCCTTGTCGTTAGATCCGATCCAGCGAATTAATATCGGGTGTTCAATCAATTGACGCCGATCGAGAGGATGGAGCATCCGGTGACGGTGTTGTTGTGTGCCCAACGATCAAAAGATTTGACCGATTTATCATTGGAAATAATTTTTCTGTTGAAACAACGACGGGCGCATCGTAGTATCGTATCGAACAGCGAGTATTTCGATCTCGTTACGATTCGTAGAGAGATCAATTGCCGACTGATAGATCAAAGAGACAGCGAAAGAGGCGATCATATACGGTTCGTGGAATGTTTAATCTCCGTCGTGAACGAAGAAATTTATTTAAAGAGAAGCGATCGGTTCCGCGAAACGACCGGACGAAACAACCACCCTTCGAGTCTTGATCAATTGTCAATTAAATCGACTTCGTTGATCGACCTCTGCTATCCTCGAACCCGCCTCTTTAAGCGAATAACGATCACCGTCTGGCTATTGGAAAGACCACACACGCGCACACAGCGGCATATTTTCGAACGAAACACGGAACATCTAGTTCACGTTTACTAGTAGATCTCGAGGTAATACCATTTATAGGAAGAAACGCGGAAAGGTGGCAAGAGAGATAGAAACGAAGGCCCAGGGTAACGTGAATCACACCGTGGAATCCTCGCATTCCATGTCCCACGCGTTTGCGCCAAAAATAGCACGGTTACACTATAGACGGTTCTACCCTCTTCTTATATCTTGTCAACGTTTAACATGATACAACCGTAAATTTTGTACAGCGAGATCGCGAAGCGTTACCCACCGGCGCCATCGTATTTCCCAGGCGGGGCATCTCATTTTTCGCGAGGCACGCAGTGAACAACAAACACACCACGAAATCTCATTGAATCCGATACCGTCGCTCTATTTCATTTCAATTTCTCTTTTTTTTCTTCCCTCAGGAATATCGGGGGTGATTATACAAATCGACGCGGGCCACTGTCGCAAATTGTGCCCGCGACACGCTTTGGACGATCCAGGAGACGCGAGTCAACCCGCTGTACAGGTAAATATCTCTACGCTTCTTCTCGTCTCTTCTCCGCGATATTTTCGATTATACGAGGCAACGTAATCCGTGATTCATCGCTTCAGGATGCACCTGGTACAAAAATCTTTTCAGGGTGATCCCCGCCATGGTGCATCAAACTTGTATCAAAATAAAAAAGAGAAGAAACAAAAGAAAAATAACCACTGGCCACCGCCAAGAGTTTATCGAACCGGTCGCGAAACCGTCGAATTCTTTTCAATTTTATTTCTCTCTCTCTCTCTCTCCCTCTGTTTTAAATTCCACGTCATAGTTTACCCACTGTTTTATGTTTCGAACGAGAAACGAAGAAAAGAGAAAGAAAAGAAGAACAGTTCTAGAGTCAGCTTTGAAGATTTTTCTTTTAGAGAGAAAAAGAGTATCGAACCACGTGTGTATAGCGAAAGGAAAGGACGATACGGGAGGGCCGAAGGGAGACGAGATTGAACGACGAGGAGAAAAGGAAAAAATCGAGACGAAATGACCGAACAAGATTCACGAACAAGAGAAAAAAAGAAGAAAAATACCGCGATATATACCTAACGTTGCCACGGCAGGTTACGTTATGCCAAGGGCTATACGAAGGGCGAAAAAAGGCAGAGGAACGTCATGTAGATTTATGACGCATGGGATCGACCAATCCGCCAACTGGAATGCGGCCACGCCAGCATCGCGCGATCGTACGATCTTCGCGACTTTTACGGTGTGTGCACCCCACACCGTATCTTCGTCGATGATCATGCCCGTTTTACACACATTCTATTCTCTAAAAATTCATCGAACACGGCTAGACGATCGGCATGCCTTTCTTTTTTTTTTTTCCTTCTTTGCTACAAACTTTACGATCGACGTTCACGGTGCGAGGTGAACCGAAATGAAATCGAACGAAAATCTTCGCATTTTACAAATATTAACCCTTTCACTTATAATTCGTTGTTTTTTCTATTCACTGTTCTCATGCACGTAAGCGTGAGAAAGTAAGAAAAGCTATCGTACATTCTTTACAATTTCATCGTTCTCTCAGTCCTCTAAATTAAAACGAATCTTTATTACCGAACGCAGTCTGACTCGTTAATAAGACACAAGGGGTTATAAATTGAATTGATCAATTTGGCGATAAAAGCTTTCCGATCGATGACGATAAATAATTAAGAATAAGAAAGAACAATGTGGAAAAGCAGAAAAAAGTACGTAAGAAGAGAATGAAAGAACGAAACGAATTTGAATATTCGTCCGGCAGTTATCTCGACTGTTCAAAACGAAGGAAGGTGTAATTTTACTCATTAGGCTAAACAGGGTAACCGCGATAATTCACTCGCTATTTCAGAGAACGACCCTTCGTGTAGTACCAACACTGGTTGCTCGGTCCCGGGGAGGGAAAGGCTATTTTTGTCACGTGATGCAACCCGATCGGTGGTTTACGATCTTGCAGCACCCACGCCGCAGGAGAGAAACAAGCCGGAGAAGAAGAAATGCTGCTGCACGCGATATGCAGAAAGGAGAGGATGTGTTTTGCGTCCTTGGAAGGTCGTATCGAGCCGGGTCACCGCTCCGGCGCCAGCTTGGCCAGCTACTAAATCCCGAATCGTGTTCCTGGGACCCGGAGGATGGATGTACCTGAGGAGAGAATTTATTAGAAAATATTCTTAGCCACAAAATATCAGCGGGCGAAGAGAGAGAGAGATTATTGCCTTTACACGGACAAAGATAACGGTCGGTTATCCCGCAGCGAGAATAATTAAATGGCCCGCGCGTGTCACGAAAGAAATGGTCCGTAAACGGTGCGAGATAACGAGCCAACCACAATTATTATAAATTCCTCCGTTGGACACCGGAACGATACTTTTCTTGCCTTGGCATACGTACGACCGGGATAAAGTACGAATTCCGTGAAGTCGCGTGTGCTCACGTTTGCTCACACCAAAACGCATCTGTATCGATAAAATGTAAATCCTCTCGGGCGCTGTGATACACGATCCGGCCATACGAGAAATCGTGTTCTCCTTCGTTCAACCATTTGGCAAACGTTTCATCCTTCGTTCAAATATTTCCCTTTTGCCACAGTATTTTGTACATGTCGAAGGAAAAACGATTCTCGCCGTTTTCAGAGATGCTTCGAGGAGTCACATTGTCGTGCAAGGGCCGCGAAATTAGAGAGGGTGTCGACGATACAAGGTGTCCGAGTGATCGAAGTGACGGAAGCCTGTGTATGCACGCCTGAATCGTCCTGCAGACGACAATCGTTCACGCATCACGTCAATTCTGCTACTCCTTACTCGTCTGTGATGGATGTTGGAGTATGCGTGGGCCATTGTGCCAAAGGTATCTTATCATTTTTCTATCTTATCGATATTATTTCGATCGTTTGTTGGAATCTTCGTGGTTAACGATCGATGAATTTTCCTCGAAAAGATCTTGGATGCAAACCAGTGAGGAACAGCACGATTAGCATCAGCGGACCTAATGGTAGGTAGAACAATTGTTTTAACAATGATTTCACTCCGATAGAGAAGCGAAGAAACGTGTTATCTTGTAGGAGACGAAGTGTATCAGGTGATCGAGAAATGTGGATGCGCTGGAACCTGCCACAGAATGGATCACATGGAGACTGTTGTGGATTTCAGCGAGGTGGAGATTAAGGACGGTACGAACGCGACCGATGTTAGGCCAGTGCTTAGGGTAAATTTCATTTCTACCGTGTTACCTATAGACATTGCTGATATTGTCGTTTATCTGAGATTGTTGTTTCTTTCGCTACGTGCAGGAAATAAATGTTGGACAATGTGTCGGAACGTGTCCAGAGAACGAGACGGAGACGTGTCTTTTGAGAGATAAAAAGGAACCATCCAGATGCTTGGCGGGTATATACTCGAAGCAACACACTTGCACACCCGCTAGATTCAAAGTTCACGAGTACAGGTATTCTCTAGATCCGGTGTTAACGACAAGAGGCAAACCAGAAAAATGAATTTTGGTGTTTGTTCGTTTGTTTCAGGAATCGTCGTGGTTCGAAGAGGGAGATTATTCAAATAACTCAGTGCGCCTGTGTCTGAATAGGATAGAGACGATCGAGAAGGAGTCTGTTCGATCCAGTGGACCAATGGAACAGACCGCAGAGAGGCATTCAAGTTATTTTATGCGTCGCGTAAACACAAAAGTACCATTTCGATGTTCCTACATGCACCGTGTATTGGTATGACAAATAAACGTACAATGACTTTTTAGAAAACGTCCAATTGGCTACCCGAAATTAGTCCACGATTCTACGATTAAATTAGCCAACGATTTTCACAGTAATACAGCGAATTATTCGAGAAAACGTTGGAACTCTCCAACAACATTAGTTACACTTGTCTCTCTCGAGACGCAATAAGAGGTACGTCGATTATCATTCCAAGAGTTTCACATACATTTCTAGAAAAAGACACACGCCAATTGGCACTAGCTGACTTTGTACTTACAGCTATTCCCTGGCTTGGATCTCGTTCCCAGCGTTGCGCTCATATACGAATAATGCAACAAAAAGAACAAGGTCGAAACCGGGTGCCCGATGTTCGAACACGCGGCGGCGAAAATACACCACTGACACCCTCGCGATCCGTCATCGTTCTCGTAGGAAAACAACCGATTATTCGCGACATCTAAATATCGCCGCGGGGCCACATAACTCGCCACTTACGAATCTACGGAATTTAGGAAGCGTGAGCTTTTTTTAATAGCCCCCACGGTGTCATCATTCCTCGTCGTTCCTCGTGGGTTTCGTTCGTCACGCCATACCAAACCAACCTTCAACGCTCTCCTCGTTTTTTATCTTACGCTACTTTTTTTTCTTCTCTTTTCATCGTACTCCTTTTTTCTTTTTACTTCTAATAAGAGAAGAAATTTTTTTTTTTCTAACCTAAATGCATATCAACGTAAGCCACGTGGAGCAGAGAGAAAAGAATTTGCAAAAAAAGAAGGGAGAAAAGCGATGTTTCGAAATGGTTAAGGAAAAGGAAACGAGCGATCACTGATGTTGGCAGGATGAAGTCGAAGGACGACGATTCTACCTAAGAACGACTTAATAAGCGAGTGATATCCACGGAGAGGAGTGGACGTGACGCGACGCGACGATGTTGAATCGCGTCGATTCGCGTAGCATCGCGTCGGTGTCCCGTGAGAGAAGCCGATGTCGCTGCGGGGAGCAACGCGGGGGAGGCAACTCCCGGCATAGCATAAAGGTGACTCCTCGCAGCCAAGACCTCCCATATGCTACTTAGCGTTCCGTTCGGTTCGGCAAACCTCCTGTCCGCTAGCAGAGAAGGTGTCCGCCAGGCTATTTTCCTTTCGTTAAAAATCGTTTGTCGCGATTTCCATATATGTACATTCGGTCGATGTTCCACGCTGTCATCGGTTCTATTCTTCGAAACGAATCACAGACAGATCGCTATCGATCGTCCCTTGTTCTTCACCTCGTGTATCTCGTACCAGGCTTTAAACGTAAAATCGACAATATACTCTGTTCTCCACTTTGACTACTCTCTAAAGGAAGAATAGAGGAAGACGATGACGACGAGAGACGACTTTCTGTTTCTTCTCTTGGCTGGTCTGTTCCTGTTCAATTCTTTCAACGTACACTGTCATCCGAATCGTTTCATCGAGGATGAAGGTGGCAATGAGGAAGATTTGGAGAATACTTGGACCGTGGGTGATTTGAACGAGGGAAACGAGCACGATGCTCGTCGAGATGAAGTATTGGAGAAACTGCAAGAGGTCCGTGTCAAGAGAATTGTGTTAATGCTTCTTGTGAGACTTTGTGAAAAATGTTTGGATTTTTTTTAAGGGGTTGGAAATATATATATATACCTGAGAGTGAAACATGCGAAGTCGATTGAATTTGAGGAAGAGACCACGTTTAACCAGACTCGATGAAATCGTTACAGGTAGTTGGTATCCGGAGTAATGGCGAGAAAACGGAACATCGCAAGGTGCCGCCGCAATTTATGATGGAACTGTATAACAACGTAGCAGATCCCAGCGGTGTCACGCGAGGCAGAAATCCGTACAATGCCAAGGTTGTCCGCAGTTTCATTGAAAGAGGTAAATGCACCTCCTTGTAGTGTTTCATTTAGTTTTTTTTTTCTTTTCTTCTCTCATCCCTGATGTAGAATTTCCGGCTAAAAGAAAGAACTTTCGTTTAGATACTTCAATGTCGCGGTTCTATTTCTTCAATATTACTGGTTTGGAAGTGAACGAGTCAGTACTGGAAGCTGAGCTTCATCTCTATAGGAAGAGAACACTCTCCAAGTCTAGTCATCTGTCCACATTAGCTTCTCCTTATTACTTGGTTAGAAAATGTCAAATGTGATTTATCCATTCTCGATCAATTTCCTTTACAAATCTTGTTATTCTTCAGATAAGAGTGTACCAAGTGTTGGATGAGAGAAGCCTGGACGTGCCGGACCTCCATAGACTGTTGAATGTCAGACACGTTGGTGCACACGCATCCGGTTGGCAGGTAAGTTTCAAGACTACAATTCTGCAGGAGATTCTATATTTACTTATTTTTATCGTTTATTTTTCTTCATAGATATTCAACGTGAAACAAGCGGTTCTAGCTTGGCTAAATGGCGAACCGAACCTAGGACTCCTGGTGACCGCGTCCACTTTGTACGAGGAACCAGTGAACGTGGAGTTTTCACGACGGAACGAGTATCATCACAGTAAACAACCCATCCTGGTGCTATTCGACGACGACGGAAAGAGACATCGTGGTGACAAGAAGACTGTTCCACGTTATTATACCTACGATAACAACAACGAGATCGTGGGAGAGATATCGTACGACGGCGACCATAAGATCGACTTGAAGAATGAGTACGATGAGAAAAGTACGGAAAAACATGATCGACGAAGAGGTCAACCGGAAGAGACACGATGGGAGAGTGAGAATAAATCGGAATTCTTCCAAAGGCAAAAGAGAACACAGAGAGGGGAACACGATGCTATGGTGCAGGAAGGAAAGGAAGATGTGACGGAAGGAACGTCCAGAAGACGTCGAAGGGAAACTATCTCTTCAAGGAAATTACACAGAAAGTTTCCTTCGAATAGTGCAACGTTTACAGGGACACTAACGTCGATGGACATCTACAAAAGAGCGATGCGTCGGGAGAGGATTGGCGAAAGGGTTCGCCAGAGGTCGATGTCTCTGTTGAACGAGAATTTTCGCGAGAAACGATCGACCAAGAGTTACGCGTCCGTTCAGCAAAATGTCACAGAGTGTGCGAGGCACGAGCTCTACGTGGACTTCAAAGAGATCGACCTATCCTCGTCCATTATCGCGCCACGCGGTTATTCCGCGTATCATTGCAAAGGTATCTGCGAGTTGCCGTTGAGTCAGGATCAACAGCCAACGAATCATGCGACGATTCAGGGACTCGTTCACCAAATGGGACTGGTTAAGGGGGTCGAGAGACCATGTTGCGTGCCCACCAAGCTACTCAGCGTCACTATATTATTTTTCGACGACAACGAGAATGTCGTTTTAAAGGATTCCCAAGACATGATTGCAGATCGCTGCGGATGTCGTTAGGGGATCTCGTGGTTTAAACTGTGATGATGAATTGCTTGAATTGGAAAAAGTAAGGATGAAGCGAATGAAACATGTCGAAGAATGTGTGTTTAAGTATGTGAGGAGAGAGAGAAAGAGAGAATGTATGCATCAGGTAATAGCACGAGAGTCATTCCTAGAGATTCGCCTCGAGATCGCCCCATCTCCGCCTTA